TAAAATTTATTTTTATTATAAATCAGAATAAACAAACCAAACACGACTTTATTTGGTTTATTCAAGTAAACAAGGTCCGGAACATTATATAAACGCAGTATTATACAGTCACATAATGTAATTGGTATGAAATACCCTCTGAAAGATAGCATCTGGAGACTTTTGGTGGGAGTCTATACATTGTATTAGTTATATATAGATCATATTATCTAAACTTGAATCATTGAAATAGTGTATTACTGAACTTGAGGCTGAGAATGCAAAGCTTAGAAAGGAGAATACTGTAATTCCTAATTTTAGAATCAAACTCTCAATATTTGATGCTGAAATAGTTAACTTAAGCGCAGGAATCTTGAAGTTCTAAAAGTGAATGGAGAATATAACGAGAGGCATAATGTTAAAAATGTCAAATTCAAGGCCAGAATCGAGGAGTTGTAGAAAAATAATACTAAAAAGAATTCTGAGCTTAGAGATCATGTCATGAAAGTGAAAATAGGCAGATGTTAAATGATAATACCCCAAATGATAATATCCTTAACAATAATTCATCTAATTTTAATTTGGATGCAATTTAAAGATGAGCATCATAATTAAGAAGTTGCAACTTGATTGCAACTCCTTGTAAATTTATCTTAATATAAATTCATAAATAGTTGCAACTCAAAGAATTGCAACTTAAGTTACAACTAGTTAAAAAATTTAAAAATAATTATGAGAACCATATTTAATGCAATCTATCATGAAAAAACATCATAGGAGAAAAAGATGGATAATTTCTTGAATGAGATGTATAAGAAAAGTGTTGGTGAAGATATTAGGTGACACAATAAAGAGAAGAAACTCTAGCGTAAATCAGCTAACCAGGACAGCATTTTTGATACTGTTTATATATCAGAAACTGTTAATATTCCTATGATAGATTTGAAAGTGTCATACGATATAAAGTCTGTTAATAGGATTTCTGAAAATTCTGAAAATTCTGAATTATCATGTAATAAAAAACCCGTTACTGTGAGTAATAGGTTTTCTGAAAATTCAAAATCATCATATAAGAGAGAACCCATTGCTAATACTCCAATCATCTTTTCTGAAGATAAAGACAAATATAGAGACTATCTTACTAACTATAAATGATATGAACAAATAAGCTTTAGCTACTGAATTTGTATTTGTTACAGGAACTATTGTTACCAGATAAAGATGCTAGCCAAAACTCCTTCAAAATAATTTTGTCATATCCCTTACTATGTTTTTAATATAGTTTCGGCTAATTTCAGATTTCGGGGTTTCGTTGTACCCCTCACTATGTTTTAATATAGTTTCGGCTGTTTATTAATTGCCTTTTTTGAGTTTCGTCCCTCATCTTTATTACCAGACAATCAACTTCAGGCTATAAAGTTTCTTCTTCTAGAACCCTAATACCAGGATTATTAAACATCAAAAAACTTGCCAATTTCTTTTGTTAAGCAAATAATACAAAGGATAAATCGATCATAACAAAGTGATCAGAGATTATGTTATAGTATTTATTCTCTGAAAGATTTGAAGATAAAGTCATAGAGCTTAGATCTAATGATAAGAAACTTACAGATCAGATTGCAAGAAAGCAGATTTATAATGAAATAAAGCCTTACCTTACAGGTGTTTCAGATGGATATTTACATACAATGACCTGTAGAGCATGAAAAATCAATAAGTTATTTGTGTATGAATATGATCTCATAACTCTAAAAAAAATAAAAGGTATAGGCAGACATATGATTCAGTAGGTTACTTATAATGCTTATAGTATTTTAAAACTCACTAATCCACAAATCTGATACATTATAAATTAAGTTAATTCGGTAACAATTGCTAATGATCATTAGAATCATATGAACAAAATCTCTAAAAGTATGACTACTATTTTAGCTTATGATTCTAACTCAGATGATTCAAATGCAAATGAATCTGACTCTGATGTCAATAAATCTAATTTTGATGAATATTTCAAATCTGATGAGATGATGAGTATGATTACGAACTTCATGAAAAGCTTATGTATAAAGAATAGCAAGAATAATAAAGTTAGAGGAGAAAATACCAATTAAGTCTAAAATGTTTCAGAGAATTCAAATAAATGATGACGATTTTAATAAATACTTATAGAAATTCATGAGAATCATAATATATATTTTGATGATCCCATATCTCAATCAGTAATGAGTCTTACCATCTTTCTAGTGACTAGTGATACCTGACTATACTTTTTTTTGAAAAATTGTAATTTCGTCAAAAGTTTTGTCTCTTTAATATTTTTATATGAATAAATATAAAATTATTATATTTTTTAATGTATTTTAATTCAAGAAATTTAGATCAAGTTAAATATAATTTCAGCAATTAAGTAAAATAATTTCATCATTAATAAAAAACTAGTTTCGTCATTTCAGTTTCATCAATTTCGTCATATTAAGAAAGGTAATTTCGTCATATTAAGAAAGGTAATTTCGTCAGATATCATTACTAGTGATTATCTAAGATACTTGTATTGACTAAATTATTGTATAGGTTTTTTTTCAAATCATGTAGGTAGCTTAGATATTATACACAGTAATACATCATTACTTTACTTCACAGTATTAGGTATGTGATTTAACTACACTCTGTGCCATTTACATATTGCTCTTATTTTTAAATCTAGATGTGCTATTTTTGTAATAATTAAGTCAAGGCTAAAATTTCATGAAATACCGTTATATTTTTGCAAATCTATAGGAAAGTAGATTGTAAGTTTAGATCAATAAATAATTAAACTAGTAATGATGTTTGACTTTTTTTCAGAAAGGTTCTGGCTTAATACATATTAAAGATGAGGAATAAAACTTAAAAAAGGCAATTAATAAACAGCCGAAACTATATTAAAACATAGTAAGGGGTACAACAAAACCCCAAAATCTGAAATTAGTCGAAACTATATTAAAAACATAGTAAGGATATGACGAAATTATTTTGAGGGAGTTTCGGCTGGCATCTTTAATACATATATTACGAATCTTTAAATTAGTATTACGCAAGTCAATCTAATGTTCCTATTGTTAGAATAAGACAAGAATGAAAATTGTACCTTTTAATCTACTAATTTACAGATCTTAATTCTATAAAATGTAAGGGATATGCTTTGATCACATTCTACATAATAAACAAATTTCTATTTACAGGTTGTATGAAACATAAATAGGGGCAATCTTTTTCTCATTAATTTAAAAAAGAAATACCAGCGGGATAAGCAGATTAACAGATAATCTTAGCAATAAACAGCAAATTTTCTGATACTTTATTAGTATTCATAATACTGATTTCACATTATTAATGTGTCATGTATTATTATTTTAATAATTAGACATCTACGAGTAATTTAATTATGAAAAATGTAGTTATGACAAATACACATAACAAAGTAACATAACTTTATTAAATCGGGTTAAATTCTCTTTTTATATATAATAAGCATATAATATAAAATAAACCTTTTCACAACGCATTTACGCAAGAAATTGCATATTAAAAAATCTAATATTTAAAAAACAATCTACCAATAAGATCTCTTAATAAAATTATTATGCCTAATTATATCCAGTTTGACATTGCTTATCTTTTCAGAAGTCATGCCTTTTTTGACTTTAACTGCTATTTTTTTGTTCATTAGTCTAGTGCTATTCATAGGGATTGCTACCATATGATCAAATCTCAAACAAAAAATTTCTAATGAACTTTTTGCACATGTCACTATAATCGCCAATGATCTTGATACAAAAAATAATACACCAAAAATCGAAAACGTCTTCAGTAAACTTACCACAGAAATTAATACTAAAATCTCTGATGAATTTTTGCACATCTTTCTGAATTTAATTCTTCTTTCATTGCGAAGCTTGGCAAAATTAATACTAAACTTAATAGACTCACCGCAGAAATTGAAAATTTTAAGGCACGTGATGCTGGCTATACCACAGAAGCGCAGAAAATATTGGGAAAACTTAATAACATTAAAGAACCCTATTATAATGATTTTGGCAGAATTAGATTCCTAGAGGAATCAGTTACATCCAGATTCATATCAATTAATATTGTTATCAAAAATCTTCAAAATAAAATAAATCAACATAACGCATAAAGCTCCGCATGAGCCGGCTCGAGCCGGCTTACCATCGGCTCGAGCTGAGCCGAATTATTTCGGCTCACGAATCAGCTCGCCTCGAGTCCAAAATGTGGCAAGCCGAGTTGGCTCGCGAGCCAAACAAGCCGGCTCATATGGCTTACATTATTAATAAAAATCCAAAAAAAAATTTCGAAGTAATTGAAAAGTTCCGGAAAGTGATTTCCTTCAAGAGAATCGTCTCTGAAATAGTTTCCTTCAAGAGAAACGTCTCCAAATCGATTCTCTTGAAGTGAAAACGCTTCTGGAACGTTTTTCTTTAAGAATTACGTTCCCAGAGCGTCGTTCTTTAAGAAATTCGCTTCCATAGTGCTTTTCTTTAAGAATTTCGCTTCTGGAGCATTGTTCTTTAAGAAATTCACTTCCGGAGCGTTGTTCTTTAAGAAATTCGCTTCCAGAGCATTGTTCTTTAAGAATTTCGCTCCAGGAGCGTTTTTCTTTTAGAATTACGCTTCTGGAGTGTTTTTTTTAGGAAATTCGCTTCCAGAGCATTTTTCTTTAAAAAATACGCTACCGAAGCGTTTTTCTTTAAGAATTATGCTACTGAAGCGTTTTTCTTTAAGAATTACGCTTCCAGAGCGTTTTCTTTAGAATTACGCTCCAGAGCGTTTTTTTTGGAAATTCGCTTCCAGAGCGTTTTTCTTTAAGAAATACGCTACCGAAGCGTTTTTCTTTAAGAAATACGCTACCGAAGCGTTTTTCTTTAAGAAATACGCTACCGAAGCGTTTTTCTTTAAGA